CACGCGAATTGGTTCACCAAAATGAACACGCGCGCGCGCTCAACGCATCGACTTCTATTCATCTGCAGGAACGAAATTCATTGCAGAAATCTGACTATGCCTTGAATGAATTTTATACGAATGGAGATTTATGTTAAAATAATTTAGGAAATATATTCTTGGATTCTCGCAGTTGCTTTTCTCGATGGAATTTAAATAATAAATACATCGAGTATATCCAAAGCATAAATGCCTCATGTGTCTCACTTCGAGAGTGATTTCTATTTACAAAGCAAATACTTGATCGAAAATGTAAGAATATGACAATACATAATAAAAATAAAATAAATTTAAAAAATAAAATATTGTATTGTAATATAATATGTAAAATAATATTCCAAAATAAATTACATTACTGACAGAAAGTTTTCTTGACATGTTACAATTAAACTTATTTTTATTCGTTTAAACTTATTTTTATACGTTTAATGAAAATTAGTATCGATCCAATTCTCAAAATTATTATCAAAAGGAAAAATTTAAAATATATCTGTGATATAAAATGTAAATGATTTACAACTGTAAATGGTTTTTTTTTATATATATGTGTCTCCTGTAATTCTACATTCTATTTTCAAAATTTCCAATATTATGATTTGGTCGAGGAAAAAAAATTATGAGAAATCTAAAATATTATGACTGATATTGGTATAAAAACAAAAATATATTCACATTAACCAAAATAAGAACAGAAAATGGAGAATATATTCACATAAACTATAAAAATGCGTCGTAATCCAGGAAAAAATGTATGAATAATACGAAATAATAAAATATCTAATAGTTTCGTATCTCGGATAAAGCTTATCTCTATATAGAGGAGCAGCGGAAAAGTGACCGCGATTAGAACAAGCGGAGCGCGAAAATGGAATGCTTTTGTAATCCTTGTAAATATGACGCGCTTTACATTAATTTATGAACGAGGCGACCAGCCGAGTAACGTCGAGCCGAGGCGTCGTTATGATGATATACGCTTACTAGGGGTGTTATTTGGATTTCATTACATGCACCGACAGACGCCACCACCCTCCTCTGGTTCACCCTCGTCGTGCACATCGCCCGTCTCGACACGCTGAGCAATTCGAAATGAGATTATAACGCAACGCGCGGAAACTTTTTTTTTCGTGGAGAAACGAAAACATAAATTCATTGAATTCATCGCTTTGATTGATTCCTACGTTCGGAAATCTGTTAATCGGTCACACCGCACAATTTCCGCTGTCGAGCGCGAATCCGCAATTTTTGGATACGATAAATACTTGATACTCGCGGCAACCAATCGCGCCAATACGAAGGAAATACGGTCGGTTCGATCCGCTGCCAAAAATTCAACTGGCTAATTGCACGGATTTTCTTTTTCGTTTTATTTTTTTCGGAAAAACCACACGATCGGGATAGAAAAGTGGAAAAAGGCACGTGCCCGATCGCGCTACGAGAGAAGGTTAAAAGTCGATATTTTTTATTGTCGCTTAAATCCCCTTATCAACGGCCGACAGACAATGAGATAAAAAGGGTATAAAGCCTAAGACTTAATGATAGCTGTCTGACGGTAGATTACTTTTACTACTGCCGCGCGTTCTCACTACCACGATTGGACGATCTTCTCGACTCTGGTGGTTCCTCCAGACCGTCTAGCGATTCTAAAAAGCAGGTGCAGCCGCAGTTCGTTCTTCCTATTTTTCTCTTTCTCTCATTCTATCTATCTTCCTCGTTTCCTCATTCTTTTCTCATTCCTCCACTCACTCTCCCCACGCTTGTATTTTTTTTTCTTTTTATTGTGTACCTCGTCTTTCTTTCTCATTGTTCCCGTATCTCTCGTTCCAGAGTTTCTTCTCGTTCTCATTCTTCCCGTATGATCATGTCTCGTTCTATTTCTTTCTCACGCTCTCGCTCGCTCTCTAGTCGCTATTGGGCTTTACGGTTACGGTTAAGTAGAGGGCAAAGAGATCGTATCGTTTTCCGAACGATTTGGCTAATCGAGTGCCGGTGGCTCGAGATCTCCCTTTCTGCTCATCGATCGCAACTACGTACATCCGAAGTGTTGTTGAGAAACTCCATGGATGAGTATTTAAACCGCGATCTCGATGCTTAACGAAATCTGGCAGTCAGTCATTTTCTTTAGAATGACGACACTTATAACGGCGAGTTATGCAATTGAATCGATTAAAGATAATACTAATAATATTAGTGAAACAACACATGTAAGAAAACAATCCAATATATATATATATATATATATATATATATCCAAAGTTCATTCTCTCGTCTGCTATCGCGATTGTCTATGCAGCATAGTAATTTAATTTTCTTACCAATATTCATTGTCCATTTCCACATTGAAAAATGATATATTTATCTTCATGCACTATAAAAGATATTCCAATATAAAATAATTGAATTTGATGTTTGACATTTCCAATTTATTTAATGAAAACATTATTGGCATGTAGGAATATTTGAAAACCCAATATATTTGACAATGAGTTTGTAATATCTTTCAAAATCAACAAAATATAAATAAGAGATTCTCTATATTTTCAAGATGAAAATTATATTATTTCAGAAATATTTTTTTAATTTCGGTTATCTGTGTGTTAACATGAGATTTTTATTCTGTTCATATGAAATAAATATTATTTTAAATTTTTCTCGAAATATATACCTAAGCCAGGATTAAATTTCAATTGGATATGTGCGTTGTATTTGCGATAATAAATTGTCCTTCCGACTGTTTGGCTTTTCATATCTCGTTTAACAGAGGGAAATTATTCTTACCGTTTCGCCGCTAATCGACGTATCAAATTGCCACCGCGTATTCAGCAAATTTTCAGGCTCGGTCAGCGTGTACCATGGCTGGGAAAAAAAAAGTCGAATAAAATGGAGTCCGCTGGATCGAAAGTTAAATTCCGTTTGAACAGAATATGTACTTGGATCACTCTCTTCTTTTCCCCGCAATTGTAATAATAAGCGGACAGAGCGTGGCGATTGCTTTCGATCGAACGGCCAATCATTGGAAACCAATGTAGAAGAACGAACTATTTTATTACAATAGTATTTTAAGGAAAGTTTTGCGGCAATGGAGAAGACTACGACTGGGAGATTTGCCAAGCGAGATCTCTATCTATTTCGAACTGTTTCTAATGTTTCTAGCGATTCACAACTCTTTCGCAGATATACGTGCATTCTCAAGCGATATTAAAATACGTCGCATTCGTATTAGTATGAGGAATGTAATTGACAGTCTTTCTTATGTCAAACTATGCTCATATCACGGACAGAATGTTAAAGAACGATGCAACCCATTTTCACGCGCATATTTGATGCGTGCTAGTAAAATCTATGCGATTTTTTAACATCAACTATTACAATTAAATTCAAAAAATTATTAGAATGAATATTATTAGAATGTGGCTTTAACTTTAATTTCTTTTTTATTTTTTGTAGTTTTCTCGAAAACTTCTCCATAGACATACTTACATCTTCTGTATACACACAGAAAATATTCTATTTTTAAGAAAAGTGATTCCTTAATTTGCTTTTTTTTTCTTCTAAATAACGGTTATCTTTAACAAAAAAATATTTTTTTATAATAATCTTAAAATATACTTCTCACAAATTAAAAAAAAACTCTTATTAATATGAACTCAAAACAAGAATTTATTTTCTCTTTAAAAATATTAAAAGTTCGAAGAAGTGACTTCAGCTTAATGAATAAACAAATCAAATTACTTTTGATTTTAATTTAATAATCTTGATTAAAGTATTAAATTTACTATTCAGAATATACTTTAAAGAAATTTGATGCTTGTAATGAACTTATGATAGATTTGCAAATATATAAACTTTTGAAATTGGGACTTGAAACAAGTAATTATCATTCGCGTACAATATGTATTTTTCTGTGTGTATTTTTTAGTTAATTTTGTAAAATCTAAGATTATCTTAGGAAGAAGTATAGACATTTTAACTTTTTTACCAGACGTATATCCTTTAACATCGCCAGGGGCAAAGTTCAATCGCAATTATATGTGGTAAGACTGCGGTTTCATAAACGCCAAATTGCACTTTCTACTCGGGATAAGTCCCAGGTGGAAAACTACCCAAAGTTTACGAGATGAATGCAAACGCGCAATGTGTCTACTTTATAGTGCATTTCTCCTTTCCTCCCGACCCCAGCCGTCCACTTTCCTTCGCTCGATACATTCCAGCACAGGTAGTCGATAGGCGAGAGGGAAACAAAAATGAAAGAAAGAGAAGGAGAAAGAGAGATATCAAACTAAAATAAAATTCTGCCTACGCCACTGATTCGGATATTACAGCAGATATTTCAAACGAACGGACACAATGGATCACTGCGCGTAACCTGCACGTAGCTCATCGCCGCATTTATAATTCATCCGTCTGAAGTGGCAATAATGGCGCGCCACCGATACTTAATACCGCTGAAACTCGACGCAGTAATGGAGTATATTATTTTATTTTACGAGCGCGATGGTGCGCTCACTTGATCTCGAAGGTATCGATATTGCTAGACTTCCCGGCGTGCGGTCCGATTTTAATAAATTCCGGCTTCACCTGCGACGATACACTGACTAGGAAACATTTTAGACCGTCTCGGTTTTATGTAGATAGACTGTAGTACTTGCTATTTTAATTTTGACGATAATTTCTGCGTGTAATTTAAAGTTTAACTTATTTTCAAAAATATATCCTGACAAATCAAAAAATCAATTGAAACATCATTATAAATCGAATATTGTGTTTTAGACTGATAAAATACAGAATTTATAGGAAATAGAAAGCCTGAATCAGCTATCAATTTGAGAGAAAATAGAATGGGTATACAAGAGTGCAATAAATCGTGGCGAGACTCTGGTCTATTTTTATCGAACGTTATAGCCGCGGCCTAGAAAGTTTCGACGATTCGCCCTTCTGTCCTGAGTCATTTCCTTTTCTTTCAGGAAGGTATCGGCTCGCTAAAAGTGGTGCCTGGGGGAATCGAGCTAAGAGGTCAAGCTGCCGTGTTAGACGCCCTCATAGCCTCCAGCCTGAGATCTCGGAAGGGCAAAAACTTAGTGCTGGAATCATGGAGTAATTTTACGGCCTCGGCGAGATCTCACGATGGTCGGCTTCTCGCGCGATTAACAGTTGGTAAGTTATATTGATGGTCGCGTACAGCAGCTTCCATTTTTCATACAATTTGACGTCAAGAAGTAATTTTAATTTCTCAGAGAGAAATGAATTTATATAAATGTCCTAACTTGAAACTATATACGGAAGCTATATAATTTCATGAGATATTCTAGATTAATTTGCACACAGGAATGTAATTATTTTGCTAACGTATCTTTAAAAATTTAGCTAGATCTGACAATAATTTTATTAGATCATTAAAATAATTACATAGGAATTTCAAATGAGAAATATTGTAAAATTTTTGACATTCTAATCAATTTGAGTTACAAAATTATTTTATTAAAAATTATTTTTCAAAAAAAATTATGTAAGAAAAAAAGTGTCATGCTGATAATTTATCGCAATTCTAGCGACATTTGTCGTTAATATTAGTAGAAATCTATACACTGAAAGAAAAGATTGGCTGAATAGGACATAACATTTTTAATTGATTGTAACAGTCCATTTTTGATTGCGATAGCTTATCGAAATCCTATGTTGACATTGCGGATAGGCTAACGCCATTAAAAATTAGCTGCTGCAACCAATTAAAAATGCTGTGCCATATTTTACCATCTAATTTACTCCAGCAACCAATCTTTTCTTTTAGTATAGTCTACAATTATTAAACGGAGCTACAATCTTTTCAATTTTGATTTCCTAATTTTAAAAAATGCATAACTCTTTTTTATTTTTATTTCTAACTGCAGGACTATAAAAAAAATACTATTAAAATTATCCAAAGGTGGAATTTGCGAAGTTATAATAGTATAACATTCTATTAATAAACAAAAAACAGTTATAATAGTATTCTTTCTCTATTCATAATTTTATACAGTTTCTTATAAAAATAAAAAAGACTTCTACATTTTTTATACTAAAAAATCGAAATTAAAAATATAAAAATTCGCGTGTTAACGCGAATCTCGCATGATACTTCCACTCTAAAATATAAAAAAATAAATATTTCTACTTTTAGCTACAGATCCCGTTAATACTTCGTTTTACAATGTATATAATTTAAAAACAAAATTTCAATAATTATTATTTTTAATACATTTTAAAGCAGGGCATTAAAAAAATCATTCAGCATGTATATGATAATATACACATCATATTGAATAAAGAAGCCTAGTGAACATAAGTACAAAAATTCAATCGTTTCTGAGGTACAAACGATTGTGTAACTGATTTTTACGTGTGCGATGTGAAGATTTACCTCAGTGTTTACAAAATCGCGTTTAAATGTTTTGATTTAATTTTCATACACACTTTATAATGAAAAATTTTATCAGTAATCAGTAAATTGATATCAATCAGTAAATTACGATATCAATGTTTTACTTATCTTAATTTTTCTCTTTTCACGTCGTATACAATACGTAGAAGAAACAATAAGTCAGTTATGAAACTAATATACAAAATTGATTATATTTTAAATATGATTGAACTTTCTCGATCTATGTTCACTAAAGCTTTTTCACTTATTGTGGTATGTATTATCTATCGTATAAATGCTGAATGTTTTTTTTTACACTCTGTACAATTCCTAATATATTTTTTAGATTAAAAATCAGTCAAAATCAGAGTTCATTCAATTAAATTCTACTTTCAGGGGAAGATCGCGTCGACTGTGTGTCTAGAGGTTTCCGAATAACTGATCCAAGAGGAGGTGTGCTCTTTTCCGCGGATAGAGAACAAGTTATCGTGGGAGCGGAAATGTTAAGGGTGACCGGTGACGGTGGTGCCGTTTTCCAAGGGAGTGTGCAGACTCCGCTAGTCAGAGGAGAATCGGGACGCGGTCTTAAGTAAATATATTACAAACACCTAACAATATATTATATATGCATATGTAATATTTAATTTTATGCAATCGAAAGAGATTGACGTATATAGATTTCCCCACAAACTATTTGTGGATGATAATTATCTAATATTATACTACAAATAAACAATTTATGGATATTGTTTCGAAATATTATGCAATTATTTGTGTTTATCATTAATTCGTATCAACATTTCATCAAAGTTCAAATGTGAATTTCCGTGCACATAATTATATCCTAGCAAGTAATAACTATATAAATAGAGTCAGGCGAATCGAACAGCATTGTTATCGTGGAAATCGGACAGTTGCAAAAATAATTTGTTAAACTAAGATATGATCATTGACCATTAGTTTTTTTTGGAAAATTTCATGAAGAACATGAAGTTTATAGGTCGAGGATAAAGCATATTTATATTTAATAAATAGTGTATCAATACGGCAAACTAATAATAAAGACATCGAGTGAATAAGATCAATCGATCGTCCTTATTTGATCTTACGACCGAATAACAACATATTGTAGCGATTTTGTTTCTTCACAAAAAAGCCGTTTCGAAAATGGCAACTTTCACCTATCTATATCTTCAATCATCACACCTTCGGCCCGAATAAGCTTGTACAATCCTTTAACCCTTCTGCCCCCTCCCCTCCCTCCTCCCTCGGCTTCATCCTCATCTCTCGCCAAGCACCTCAGTATATTACGGCGAGAGATCGAAGTCTGCGAATGGTGGTGACGGTAGGACGGGGAGGTCGGAAAGATAGAGGGGGACAAAACGGAGTTGTACCGCCGCATCGCGGTTATTGATAGCGCCGGGCAATTTACAGACGGATTTACGATTACAATAAAACTTTGCTCGCGCGGAAAATTATATTCATAGGATTGGATTTGCGCCAGATATGAAATACTGCGGATCGTATGAGTTCGAAGAGGTAGGGTAGACAGAAGCAGAAGTCGAAGATCGGGGAGCTGACTGTGAAAAAAGAAATAAAGCAGAGTAGAGCGGTAAAGGAGCAGCTTCGCGGAGAACGAAAGGAGACGAATGAACGCGTGGACTGTTTCCTTCGGAGAGAGAATCGATTGCTTGAATTCGACTTTGGACCACGGAAGATACTATATAGATATTACTCTGTTGCTGGAATACTTAGATATAATATGGTTTACGGGCACACGGAGATTTACGGCGTAATTCGCGTCATTGTTGGAACGTAATGCACTGAAATTGAAGTCTACGAGTTCGATATCATCATTCATCGAGCAACGATTGTATCGCTATGTAGCATCGGTGTTTTATTTTAAACTCGTGGAGTTAAAAAAATAATGCCACCACACTTCTCTCAAAAAGAATTCAGTGAGAGAATAACGAGATGTTTATACGTATAGAAATATATATATATATATATA